AAAGCTTCCACGACACAAACCTGCCCTCGTGTGTACACACATTTTGCATACATTGACACAGGGCTTGTGTAAGAGCTAGCACAGTGATCGCGCTTCTGTGGGTGACAGGAGAGAGCCACGCTGTCAAACTTTGTGAATGTCACTCGTTTTGGGTAATAAGGCTGTTATTTATTAATGGCCACTAAGGGAAGCTGTGCTGGCCACACATCAGAGAGCTGGCACGAGAAACTTCACCTTTCAGCTACTTCAGCGCACAAACCCAGTCAAGCACACGCTACATGTTAGTGCCGCGGCATCCTATGCTATTTTTTAATCACACGCTCGCTTTTGAAGGTGAAAGCCAGTTAAGGCCCGGCTGATCTAGGCCCGGTTCACAACTCGCAGCGGCAGCAGCAGCGGGGCTGCGACCCCCGGGCGGCCCGGGCCGCCGCTCCCCTCGCTCCCCGCCGCCAGCGCAGCCCCTGAGGGCGGCCCCCGTTACCTGGGCAGCGCCTGCAGCGCCCGGCCCGCCATGGCGGCCCCGCTCCCTCAGCGCCTCGGCGGGGCGGCCCCGGCACTGCGCGGCGCATGCGCGGGGCTCTGAGGGACCGCCGGCGCCACCGGCATCGACGGCGGGTCCCACACGGCCGGGACGGCTCCTGAGGAGTGGTCCCGCTCGSCTCCACGAACAGCCCTTTGCCGGCCCTTTCCCCTTACCTGGCTAGGGAACGGGTGCTGCTGCCCGTCCCGGATAAGGCCGGCAGGTGTGAGGGCACCGAGTGATGCAGTTGCGTTGTATGTGAAGAGAGTGATGCCGCGTGTGGCAATAATATCACCTGGCATTGCCAGTTCACAGCTGAACTTCGTGGGCTGGAGCTGCGTTTAGACGGTTTGTTATTTTCAGCAGTAAAACTGGTTTCTTAACTTCTGACCTCCCGGCTTCGCTTCATGCTTTGCAGCCTCACAGCTCCTGACATATGGACAGCGAGGGAGGTGGGATTAAGGAGCTGCTCTATTGTGACATCCCAMCAAGAACTGCTTAGCCCTGAGGTAAACACAGGGATTAAGAAATAGTATGGTTACTGCCCCAACAGTAGCTACACACAACTGCGAGGTTAAATACAGCCTGCGTGTTCAGCATAGGTTCAGAAATTGCAACTTTGAAAATTGGGGGTTTTTTTTGTTGTTTTTTAATAAAATACTAAGGCACTTGAGAATTTATAGCCATCACGC